CTGCAGAGCGCAGACCTGGTCATCAGCCACGCAGGTACAGCTGGGGCTGCGGCAGGTCCGTGGATGAAATCTCCCCGGCCTGGGGTGGGCTGGCTGAGAGTGCTGAGGTCCACACTAGAGTTGGGTTGTTCTAGAGGCTCCCCTGTTTCAGCAGCAAGTAGGGGGTTATTTGATCTCTCACTATGTTTTCTGTTTCTCTCGTAGGTGCTGGTAGCTGCCTGGAGACTCTAGAGAAAGGAAAACCACTAATAGTAGTAATAAATGACAAGCTGATGAACAACCATCAGCTTGAGCTGGCCAAACAGCTGCACAGAGATGGCTGTGTCCTGTACTGTAACTGCAGGTATGGAGCTGCTGGGGCTGTTCCTGCTGGGCAAGAGCATTCAGTCCATGTGACTGCACAGCTGAGAATGCAACAAGGAAATTTACATCCTTCTCTGTCATCTCCATCTGGATATTACATTTTCCAGAGTGAACAGACTAACACTAGGTAGAAATTTACCACACTTACCAAGCCTTTTTACCACCACCTCATCTAATTATGTTTTTCCATTTGAGGTAACATGTATTTAGATTAAAAAAATACTTGGATTCAGGGGATTAATAAAGCAGATATAGATATTATCTGGTTAGTAACTTGAAGTACCCCTGTCTTTCAAGTACTCATTCAGGCCCCACTTTTAACCAAACTTCCTGAATCCACCATACCCTCTGACAAGGAGTTTCACAGATCTACTGCCTGTCACTTCAGGAGAAAAACCCAAACTAAACAAACAAAAACACACAACAAAACCCCCACCCCACAACCAAACTACACATGAAAAAATCCCACCATCACCAAAACCCCTAGCTCCTTTTTTAAGAGTTCATCCTGACTCTTTTGGGTTTATTTATTCTCCTGGTTTTGACTGTATCTTACTGTTTTCTCTTTACTTGTGATTAACTCCACTCTAAAAATATAAGATTACTTTTAAACTGAAGGCAGAAAACATGTAACTCCCATTACTTAGTCTGCATCTTGTTCCTTTGCTCTGCAAGCAGTGTTTCATATGTTTCAGAAGAGCTTTCTGAACAGACCAGGCCTGGCATTCATTTAAATTGAGCAAGTTTCTTAAACTCATTATCTTGGTGCTTCTGTCAGCTTTGGAATTTTTATTTCTTTGTGTTGGGCAGTGCCAAGCATTTGAGCTTTATTTTCAGCCTGATAATAGCAAGTAACAGATTGATGTAGCTGTTCTTTCTGGCTCTGTGATCAGGGGAGAACTCTGCCATGTGTTCAGTTAGGATAGATTTCCTCTTATGGTTTATGGAGCAGAGCTTCAGATCTTGTTCAGTCTCCCAGCATTGCAACCACAGAAGATTAAAAAGTTTCAAAGTTGAGTTTGTCTCAGAAAGCTGATAGAGGTGTGTTCTCAGCAATGCTGCCTACAAGCCAGTGCTGGCAGGGGCCTGCTGCTCTGGGCATTTTCTTCCTTTCCATACATATCCTGATTTAATATTTCCATGCTAAAGAATTACATATGAGTGCATAGAAAGAAAACTGTGTTTAAAAATTTCCTATGGGATGGCTATTTCTTCTTTAATTTTTGCCTTTGGTCTGTTTTTACAGCACTCTTGTGGAGACACTGCAGTCGATGGACTTGTCAGCTTTGAAACCTTTTCCTCCTGGACAGCCAGAAAAGTTTGCTTCATTCTTGGATAAAGTTTTTGGGTTGCAGTAAACAAAAAAGAGAAATAAAAAAGTTGGAATAAAATGTCTCATCTCCTCTTAAGGTCTGCCAACACTCAAAGAGAATATCATTTAATATTAACTGATATTAAATGGCTTACAATTTAGTGTCAAACTCATTCAGCTTTCTGCATAAAAGAGAACAATGCCACTAAGGAGGGAGCGGACAGACATATTTCTATCACAAAAGCTGCACTGAGATGGTAATTCCACGGATGAGGACATGCCAAACTACTTCTTTACAGGCATGGCATATGCCTTGTAACCTCTTGACCTTTTTTGCCAAGTCCAGGTGTAAATAAATTGTCCTTGTTGATGTTCCTGTGATGTCCTGCAGATGCCTTCGGCTCTTGGTTCATGTGTTTACAGAATCACTGAAAAGAGAGCTTAAAAGTGAGCTATTTAAGGCTCAAAAGGGAAAAAGGCATGTGGTGCTTCCAGGTGAAAACAGTTACAAGCTGCCAAACTGCTGCCCTTTGTTTGGGTGATTTACCCACAAAACATAGGACAGGAATGGGCTTGGCAATGCAATTGCTCCTTTTGCATGGTGTTACCCCATCATAACCCAGTGTTTCCTATTTACATTATATGTAAGGAAGAAATTCTCCCCTGTGAGGGTGGGCAGGCCCTGGCACAGATTCCCAGAGCAGCTGTGGCTGCCCCTGGATCCCTGGCAGTGCCCAAGGCCAGGCTGGACAGGGCTTGGAGCAGGCTGGAATGTTAGAAGGTGTCCCTGCCCATGGTAGGAGTGTTGAAACCAGATGAACTTTAGGGTTCCTGCAAACCCAAGCCTTTCTGGGATTCTTTGCCGCTGATCAGAGCTTCCCATTCAGAGTATCGAATTTAACAATGATGTGTGACATCGATTTCATCAAGTAAATATTTTGAAAACCAAAGGGGGTTTAAACTTTAAAAATGTTCATGCATGTTCTTAGGTTTCTAATGCTCTAGAACTTTAGAAGTGCATAATTGGTGCTAATTGCCCTTCCCACAAAGACATGGGGGGGGGGGCGGTGTTGCTTTTGTTGTTTAAAACAAGAAAATGAAACTCCTGAATTGGCCCATTGGATGTCTAAGTACAATTTTCATGAGGAAGTTAAATGTACATAGAAGCATTCAAATCAAGCACAAAAGGCCACAGGTGGAATAAATCAGGCCGCACAGCTGTGCAAGGCTCGGTTTTGCCAATCCCCCAAAGTTTGCCCCAAATACTTGATTAGGACCCACTAAGATTCTTCACTCTCTTAACGATTTCGATGGAGTTATTTCAAACCCACTGCTAGCAACTCGCTTCCAGCCCGGGAGAGCAGAGGAATCCTGGATAACCACCGGGGCGATGTCCGCGCTGGTTCCCCGCAGCCGAGCCATGAAGTTGAGCTCAGCCAAGGCAGGTACGGGAGGAGCCGCTTCCCACGGGCTTGGGATGCGCACCCACGCCGGGGCACCGGGCACTCTAAAAACTGCCCTAAACCAACCTAAAATAGCCCCGGCGGGATCCGAGGGGCCGGGCCGGGCTGTCCGTCCCGCAGGTGGGCGAGGT